CTCACTGCCAAATGATGAAGTGTTGCATGTTCCTGCCCTGAGGACCAACAGTCATCCTTGTACAGCTTCACTCACGCTCTGTCACCAGTATTATTGAAGAAGGCTATGTGTGGCTGGAGCGAGTCAGAAGCCTTCTACCCAAACAGAACCTTGAAGCTGGTGAATGGATCTCATGGGCTGCCGCTGCATACTATGCCAGCATCACAGAACCACCAGTTACTCCCCCAGCCAAGTCACACATGCTGCCTCTGTTCACGGAATCTCCTAACAGCCCATGCAATAATGGTGTGGCATGTTTCTCCAACTGAATGGGGGTGGCAGCAAGAATCGCCTGACTCAGTGCCAACTCCAGTCTACATCACAATTCCTACCATTTCTCGGGACATGCCACATCTTGTCACTTGCCAGTGTAAGACAGACTGTAAGGCTCCTTGCAAGTGCTGTGTGCACAGGCAGCCCTGCATGTTTCTCTGTAGATTCTTGTTCTCATACCCATATGATGAGGGAGGTACAACGAGATGAGGGCCCAGCTGAATGAAGGAATGTGTTCGGATGTGCTTACATTGTCAATACAGTCCCCGGACAAATTCTGGTGTGGTATATTTTATCAAAACATCAACTTTGTGTATTATTTCTTGAATTTTACCTCTAAATGTATTCCAAATGCCAATTAATGCCAAAAATAAATTCAGTGACATCAAATTAGCTAAAAAAAACATGTGTCACAATAGTTTCTATGACAAACGGTTCATGAGTTGTGAGTCGACCAAGTTTTCCAAAATGGCCGCCGGCGGCCATCTTGGATTTTGAGATAGAACGTGTGTCTTTGGATAAATATTTTCTTAGGGTTCTAAGGAACTTCTATGCCAAAGGGGACATTTGTAGCATGATTTGAAGTAAAAAAACACTTAGCATGTCTACTAAGTCTGTATGAGCATGCTATATGTAATGTCAAAATGTTTCTTATTTAGTTGGCAAATACACTATGTTAACAATACTGCAGTGCCGATGATTTTTGACATATCGGTAATTTAATATGCAATTTTTTATTATTTGTACCCATTTTATTGTTTCAACCTTATTTTATTACAACTTAAAGATAGCTACACTTAAATTGCTTCTAGAACATTGGTATAGATATCTACGAATCGCTTGAGCTATTTCCTGAATAAATTGGGTGAGTATTATTGAAATTATAGCCCAACCCCTAAGAGTGTTATAACGCAATACCTCCGTTAACACGCAGGAGCGCTGCACGCCACCAGATGGCGCTGTTTATTTGGCCAATGACATCGAAATTCTTCAGGACCTCGTATAGTACGCGTTTGCAATGTTTCACAATATACCAAAAGTACACAATCCATGTGCTTATCCGCGCTGGACTATTATTCCATCTAGCAGTCTGTTTACGAAAAGCGCGCTCTCTTTCTCTCTCTCTCTCTCTCTCTCTCTCTCTCTCTCTCTCTCTCTCTCTCTCTTTCTCTCTCTCTCTCTGTCTGTCTGTCTGTCAGTCTGTCTGTCTGTCTGTCTGTCTGTCTGTCTGTCTGTCTGTCTGTCTGTCTCTATCGCCCCCTCTCTCTCTCTCTCTCTCTCTCGCTAGCGCAGGGTCTGGTTAATGAGTAATATCAATGTAATTTTACGAGCAACTATAGCCGTGTAGCAAGTGAATTGTCTTACAAATACCATTCTCACATTTCCATTCTACAGAATTTTTCTAGCTTTCGTCCACATTTCATTTTATTTTGGGGCAAATATTTTTGTTTTATCCATCTAATACATATCCTAGCAAAGCAGAAAGGTGTAAATAAAAATTGTTTTTAATCAGTTATTCGTTTGCTAAATAAATTATGTGTTATAAATATTTATGTTGTACCAGCATGCGCTGCCTTCTATAGCAAGAATAGAAAGAGCCGTTCCATCACGGTTGATGACTGACTCTGCATAGCAGTATTTAGCATGGGTGCCAGTATAAAGTACCCGTAAAATTTTATGATATTCATATTTTTAGTGAAGTATAATTAATGATAAAACTTTAATAAGCACCTCATCAATTAGACCAATATATGTTACCCTAGAAATTTGTCATTATATGAATCTGAAGTGCAAGTGCATGATTACAGTGCGACCATCACGTTATTATTCACTGCCCGTGGAAGAAGGGGGTGGGCGGGCGTTTATCAACAGAATCGAAGATAAAGCTTCTCCGCCGCTGTTGTGAAAGTTTTAGGTGACGTGGTTGTTGCCACGTCCTCTGGCAGCTGGTCCCCGTCTATCGTTGTTTGAATGAATTTCGAAAATGCTCTGCTTAAGCGCTTAAGATATTCTGAAAAGCATTAATTGCATTTTCTGGCAACGGCCAACCAGCGACGCGAGCGCCATTACTCATGTACTTTAAAATAGCGGCAAGGAATAGCGGGATGCTGCGGTCGAAGTGAAATTCTGAGATCGGATTTTAGGGTACACATCTCCTTTGGCCATGTATGTATATGCGCACGCGCGGAGCCGTAACGGTTTATGTTGTTTCTATTCGTGATATATACAACATTTCAATGCCTGTGTGCTTTTGTCTGCCGTCGGCGTTGCCATGGTCACGGCATCACAGCGTGTGTATACGTAAATTAACCACTAAATGGCTTAATCGATAAATTTCATTTAGACGGACCACTCCATTTGTTCCGCACCATTTAACCGTTTCGGCTACAGGTCACGAGCCAGACTATATATACCCGCTGTAAATCGCGGCAAGCACTTTCCCCATAAAAGTTGCGCGCTAATAGGTAACTATGCGACTGTTGTACCAAGTGAGGCCGTAATTGTTTCCCTAGGTTCGTATGACGAGTGTATGCGCTGCTGAAGTAGGATATATGTCTGTTGACAGAATCGCAATCCAGGTGTCGCAAAGTAAGCGTAGCGCTGATACGTGGAATACAAACAAAATTAGTTCGGAAAAGCAGAATTCCCTGTGAAGGAATGTTAGTGTAGGAGACATCAAGGCGTGTCGAACCAGAACGTATATTACAGAGCTGTGTGGCCGGGAAGCCAAGGGCAGCAGCCAGGCATTGTTCGCGTATCCGCTGACGTCATGCAGCAGCGACAGAAGCCGTACAGGTCCGTTAAGCCCGCCTCGAGTAAACTCCTACAGAAGAAATGGGACGAAAAAGACTACGACATCCACGTGAAAAAGGCGAGTGATCAACAGAACGGATAGTTGACGTCCTAGCCGCTTCTTTATCCGTTTCCTAAGTAATTACAGTTGCTTAAGGCGTTGTCTCCTAGTTATATTATTGCTATTATTATTATTTTTATTGTTATTATTATTATTACGGATATATTTATTTTTACATTATTATGGGTATTTTTAATGTCATTATTTATATTCTGTTATGTTTTATTATATATTATTTGATTTTATTATAATACGTATATTAGATTCCATTGCATTATATTTCATCCTATGATATTCCATTCAATGCATAATTGTTGTGGTCGTATGTTACACTACAATATGTACGAACAAACTATACCGACAGTAGGTGAACTTTCTTGTATACAGATAAGTAAGGCATATTCGACCGTGGATACTCGACCTCCGCTTATGTATCCACACCTGCACATGAACCTGAGGAAAATAAGGGTAATGTACGGATCAACTTAGTTCGTACAAGCATGAAAAATTACAAAAAATCTCACTTCGGAGCATGTAGCTCTTATACAAGAATTATCAGCGTATATCTTATTAAGA